AACTGATCTACTCCCCAAAGCTCTTGGATCATGTACTTTAACTGATCTACTCCCCAAAGCTTTTGGATCATGTATTTTAACTGATCTACTCCCCAAGGCTCTTCGATAATGTATTTTAACAAGACTCCTTTGAACACTATTTCAAACTGAACAATTTGCTTCAAACTGAATAGAACATTCGACAGGCATGATCAGTCAATGCTCTTACAATCACAGGACACACAACAGTTAAACTTACCCTGAGGACCCGCGCGTGACAAGACACAACTTACAATCACAGGACAAACAACAAATATACTTACCCTGAGGACCCGTGCGTGACTAGACACAGATTTCCTAAACTTTTCCAGTGATAGGTGCTCATCACTTTCTGTGATAAAAAAATAAAGAAAAAATTCAATAAATCAACTTCTCCGAGAAGAATCATAAATTTGAACTGTAATCACAAACAAGTGGACCAGAGGGCTTGTATCGCTCACCTGGATACCTAAGCAATCATGGCAAAATATTCTCCAAATGAGATCCAAGGGAATATGTAAAACCCCAAGGCCAATCCTTGTAGCACATCTGCATCAGGTTTTTCTTGCCCAGCAATTTTATGTATGGTTATAGGGTGGGGATCTCAACTGTTTCCAAGCTGTGACTTAGAAACTAGGTCCCTAGGATCAATTCTAATATCATGACTGCATTTGTCTCTTTTTGCCCAGCATTTGTATATATAGTTTTGGAGTGGGGATCTCAACCGTTTCAAAGTTATGACACAGGGGTTAAGTCTGCAAGGGTGGGACAGACCCTTGGGTAAATTCTAATATCATGACTGCATTCGTCTCTTTATGCCCAGCATTTGTATATATGGTTATATGGTGGGGATCTCGGGATCTCAACCATTTTTAAGTAATGAACTTTTTTTGGCCCCGCCCTCAGCCCCCTGGGAGGTCAGCCCCACCATTTGTACAATTTTGAATCTCTGCCTCCCATGAATGCTTTTGATTAAATATGATTGATATCCAGTGCATAGTTCTACAGAAGAAGTCATTTGTAGCAATATAGCCAAATTGCCCCCTTTGGCCCCGCCCCTCAGCCCCCTGGCGGGTCAGCCCAACTATTTGTACAATTTTGAATCGCCACCACCTAAGGATGCTTCCAGTCAAATATGGTTGATATCCATCTCTCAGTTCTAGAGAAGAAGTCGCTTTAAGCAATATAGCCAAATTGCCCTGCCCCTCAGCCCCTTGGGGGGACAGTCCCACCATTTGTACAATTTTGAATCCCCACTACCTAGGGATGCTTCCAGTCAAATTTAGTTAAATTCCAATCAGTGGTTTAGAAGAAGAGGTCGTTTAAAGAAATTGTTGACGGAAAGACGACGGACGGATGTCACGGTATGGCATAAGCTCACCTTGGTACTTCGGACCTGGTGAGCTAACAAAATGTATCAAGTTTAAAAACCTTCCTATTTATAACCCCTTAAACTATCAAATTATCAGTTGTTCCTAATAATATCAAGTCAAAACAAATTTATAGACAAATGTAAAATATTAAAGACTGTTATTTTTTTATAAAGAAACTTTTCAAACTTTTTCAAAAATAGTGACCTCACCAAAGAAAGAAAATCATTCCTGCTAAAATTCAATTTCTTATATATATGTCAGCAGACATTGGACAAACTTTTTCAAAAGTAAAGGTCAAAGGTCAAGTTATAGGTCACAGTGACCTTATTCTTGCACTCCACACTCTGCCATCCCAAGATGTCCTTGTACACCAAATCTGGTTACTCCAGGTGAAATAGTAAAGAAGATATGTCCCGGACCATTTTCTTGGACAGAAGGACGGAGGGAGTACTATAGTGGGTTGCCACACAACGCCGTCACAACTTACCCAGATCCTTCACACACTGTAAATATTCCTCCTCCGGTATCCTAACTCGAAGGCGAACATCCCGAGCCTGACACTTCCGAAGCAAAGTTTTGGTGATAAGGCCCCGCTGTAACAGCTCTAACAAGTCCCCACATCTGTACATCTCCCAGAGGCTGGTGACACTACGTAAGGATTTGCAGTGTATCGTAAATTTCACACTTCCGTAAGAAATGTCAGAGATTTCATCACCATGTTTACACAAGATTTTAAGAGTATGCATTACTTCAGCGGTATCTTTTATGATATCATTGGTCTGTGATAACTCCTTCTTAAATTGTTCAAATGATGCTGGGGTGTTGTCACGGCGACGGATCGTACTATACGCCGTCCTCGCCATTACAAGAATTTGTTCCTCAACTTCCTGGCACGAACACTGAGGTTTCTTCTTTGGTAAGGGGAGAACACTCTCACAGTCCACACTAACATTCAGCTCGGCTACAATAACAACGACAAGTAAATTACATTATTCATGATCTGTTACATATCACCTACATTTAGTAAGCGTTTTCTTAGCCTTTTGGACCCTTCCTGAGTTTATAACATCAATAGGTGTCTCTGACTTTTAAACAGCATGTGGTTGGGTGGTGCAGTGGATAGCGCCCTTGCCTGTCACTAAGGTCACATGCCTGACCATGCTGGTTTTCTCCCGGTTTCCTACCACATTCAGACTCTCCAGGGCTAACACCCAGGCAAGCAAGAGTGATGTAAGCTGAAATAGCTTGTTTCATAAATGTTTGTAAAATAAATAAAGTTCATGTTATATTCATTTAATTCATGAGAAGGATGGATCGCTAATTGAAGCATGAATATGCAGTGAGTTTTGAGACATAGATATATTCGAGTTCCGGATTCATGATTTTCCTTTGGGATGACTAGCCCACATTTTGAGAATCTATATTACATCTCTTATAAATCATGGGTTTCATCAATATTTGAAAATGACTTTCAGGACTAAAAACATCGTACAAAAGTCATAGGGATTCTTTTTATGGCTATTATGCATGAAGTGTATTAAAATGTGTTTGTTCCATTATATATCCAGTAAGAGGTGTAATTTTTCATTAATTATTGATTAATTGGAATTGAGAATCAACTGAAATACTAAAGGAAATACCAGGGGCGTACAATTTCAAAGTAGGTTATTATAAATATGTAACTGTACATCCCTGAATACAATATCCCTAGAATTGGCGAGTTATTTAATCTCTAAAATATAACAATCACCTCACCAATAAAGTTCAATAATCATGAGATTTTAAACCTCTTTAATAATACTTAATAATGACTAAGTTTGTCTGAACACAAACAGGAATTGAAAAATTATATTGCAAGCTTTTGAAAATGTCTGTACATTTGTCAAGCTGTAAATGACTGGTGTCTGGACTCTAAACCGCTGAAAACAACTCACAGTATGACGAATAAGTAAAGTCAGCAGCTGTCAAAAGACATTTCACCCAATCACACTCTTATACTGCAGGCAGTCAGGGGGACAGGTAACATGTTTACCCATTCCGCCCTTTTTTATAATAATTACACCTGTATACACAGCTTTTTAGAGGTTTTTTTTATACCTTTTTGGCGTTTGCGTTTGGTTTTTCGCAGTGTAGGTTTAGGTACTGGCTCGTCGATGAGGTCGGCCAGGTATCCCTGGAGTGTTTTACGGAGAGACTTAACAAACACATAAAAGGCTCGGTCTGACCGCTTCCCCAGGTTGTTCAGTAACTCCTCATTCATGGCTTCCTGTGTATTCTTCTCCTTGATCCGACTCACATCGCCAATTAACAGCACCTGTACAAATTACAATACAAAGTCTAGTTCATACACCGCAGGGATTTTAAAAGGTTAAACTCACTGATAAAAAACTGCAACAATTATTTATGATACTGAATAAATACACATACACGAAACGTATAATATTACATAATGCATTGTATTTGTTCTATAAATACTGAAATCAATTATTTTTTGCTATTTCTAATATACCCCGTTAACCCATTCAAGATCTGTCCATTGCTGCCTCTACAGTGAAATATAACATACAGTCAACTTCCAGCATCTCAGGTCAAATATTTTTAATATACTATGGGAAGGCATTAAATAATGTGTAATAAATATATACATGATAAATAATATTAAAATGTACATATATTATGATACAAACACATACATTTGTAATTCATTTTTAATCAACAGGAAAAATATTTTTCAAACAAAATCAAAATGTACAAAAAGGAAAAAATCAAATCATAAAGTGAACCATCTTAAAATTCCTCCTTATAATTACAGAGCAGAAAACCCCCGTGACACAGAACTGGACTGGGTCTATCGTCGGCCACCAGGTATCTCAATGAGTAGAGTGCCTATCTACAGTTCAGAGGATACCGGGTACGAACCCCGGTCTGGCAATGGCATTTGTCCTTTTCCTGTTACACCCAAAATCTCATTTGGAATTAAACATACAGACAGGACACTTGATGTGTTGGTTTTACCTTGTTGGCGATCAGGTCGTTGAGTATATCATCAGGAATGAGACTCTCCACCAACGTGTCACGGTGATGCTGGAGCTTCATCTTGTGTTCCATACTCATCACTTTGTCCACTGTAAATACAAGGGGAGATAATAGATCGTAAAAAAAGTTTAGTTATATATATATATATCAATGCTAGCTTTGATTTTACTTTTGTTAATATATATAACATCTCTATCATTAAAACATCTTATACGGTATACGTACTACCTTAAGTTTGCAATTATTTTCTTTCAAAATATTTGAGGAAATATTTTCAATGGTAACTCAATAGATTAAGTTTTCCTCTGGATTACGTACAGTTTCTAGAGTCCTCCTCCTGCTCGTCACCTGACTCGGACTCCTCATCATCGTCTACTTCCTGTCGAGTGGAGCCAGAATCGCCACGTTGATGGGTCAGCCTATTAAGCTTTGCCCGTTGTTCTTTTAACATGTCGACCACGCCACTTCCTGATGACGAAGGAACCTCATGGCCACGATTGTTTTTATTACTTTTACCTCTACTTGTTGAGGCTGTGGAAACATTTCCAGAATTTTTCACATTTTTAAGATCAGACACAGACGCACTGACTTCCTTCAGCCTCTGTTCCAACATATGCTTTTCTGCTTCTTGTTTTTCAAGTTTTGCTTTTTCCCGTTCTAATTTTTGGATTTTTTCCCTGATGTTTCTGACATCAGCTCCTTTACTGAAACCTTCATCGTAATCTGAGCCTTCCTCCGAGTGATCCTCCATGTGGTATGTTTGACATTCAAAGTCTTTCGCTTGATTGTTCCATGTTCGTCGTACTCCTGGACTGTTATCGGATTCTCCTCCGCTGTCCAGGGGAGCTCGCGACCAGTTATACATGTAGTGTAATACAACTTAATCGCAACTGGTCAATGACATTGATCCTAATTGTAAAAATGTTCTAACATTAAGCATAAAAATTTCCGTCCAATGGTTATTTTTTTTTCATAAAATAATTCAGGGTATAAAAAGACCTGAGAATGTTTATGTCACTGAGTCTGATGTTATCATAAAAGCACTTCTGGAATTTTTCAGCACAAAATAGAATGAGCTTCAGTACACAAATTAATAATATCAGGAAAGTCGATCTAAAAACAGCATTTTATGCGAGAAGCTAAAAATGTTTCAACATAAAAGCTTGAATACTTGATTTCATATTGGAACGCTCGCCCTCCAAACGTCCAAATCATATGGTCGTTTTGTGTATTCGAATCAAAACAAAGCGGCGAATTCCATTGATTACGCCTAGTATTCCAGTCTTGTATATTAATATGTCAAAGCTTGGCCCCAACAAACGAATCAATTCCACATCATCACGTGTTCACTGGCATTGTTACCAGAGATATTCTATATTGAGGTAGTTGGGGCAATACCGCAAGGTAAGTAGGAGTTAAATTATTCATTAGATTTACCTATATCGGTAAGTTCACGATTGGTTCAGACGAAAATAGACGGGGGGGAAGTCCAGCCATCAGGCTCGTATCTGGTTGGCGTAGAAGATTGATTTTCATATCTAGGGAAATGTAAGTCTGGCACAACTTACAATTAACCGTGCATGAGTGTTTAGATGATTCATTTTCTTCTATATTTTGCAGTAAGTTTGTTTACTTTTCCCGGCATCCATAACATTCAAAACTGTCATGGCGGTCACCAACCTCGTTTTCGCCATTTTTACGTTTCTTGTTTTCTTCCAATAGAAGAGCTCGTGTACACACGCGTTTCAACCACGCCCCCAATACACAGACATTATTATGAGCCAATAGACCCCTCCTAACCCAGAGATAATGAATTTGTCACCCTGACAGTCTTTTAGATATTCTAATACTTTTCTTGTGCAAAGTTATAAGTCACTTTGTGAGTTTGAGTTGTAACAGTTGTAAGGTGACAATACCTAAATCGGATCACTTTTTGCAAAAATACTTATAAATAAATAAATAAATAAATGTGTTAACAGAACAGTTATAACATGATATAGCCTTAGAATAGATAGCAATGTACCATTTTTTTGTCTACAAATGATTAGTTTTTAAGTTCGAATAGCACCAGAAAACTTAATTCAAACTCAAATGTTAGTGTTTTGAATATATATACGTTTTAAAAACAATGGTGCGTGCGACGACTATGCATTCTTTTTTGGACTATTGGAATAAATTCACACTATAGAAATACTTTTTGTCATATGAATTCTAAAGGTCGTCATAAAATGTGATTTATGGTTATATCGGCCCAAGGTAAAAACGGCCTCGATTTACCCAAGTGAAATCGGCCCAAGGTATATACATAAATGCTATAATAATCCCGTTCTTTGGGTTTCATTTATATATCAACCTCTGAACATATATCTTTAAATTAATAAATTCATTTCTGCATTTCCTTGTCTCTGTCGCGAGTTCCACAAGGGGAGGTAACCTGTACCAGGGACAGTACGTCCCTATACGTCCCTGCCTGTACTAATGTAATCTGTTATAATGTCGCGTAAGATAGTTATCATTTTGTGTGTAATCTGAAACACTGACATTATTTAATTAGATTTAATTATTGGAATGATTTTTTTATATGATTAACGAGGAAGTTAGCCGATGCAAACAGTTTTTTCTTTCTTTAAAAACTGTATACATCGTTACCAGCTCTTGCCACGTGGAGGCCTCCTCTTTAAGAGCCATAATCAGGCGCGTAGCTGCCTATACGCGAGTACGCAGCTGAATCCACATTATTTTGACAACAAAAAAAAAAAATAGTAAAAAAAATGTGGTTTGAAATTCAGCCGCGTTCGCCAGATCTGATAATTACCACACTGAATACTTTATAAATCATATAGCCTAAATCGTACACCATACCGTAGTATTTTTTTGAAAAGTTGTCGGCCTTTGCAGCTCTTCAAAGTCGGAAGTTTGCACGCGCCGTATTTTCGAAATGTAAACAAATGTTTACATCGAGTTCTTAAAAAAGTCATCAGCAGAATCAGCGATAGAAAAGAGGTAATTATAACTAAAATGTTACTATGTATGCCTAGTGTTTATTTGTTTCGGTCTGTTTGTTGAGTAATGACATGTTTGACCATGTCTGTGAACCGATTCTAGCGAGACTGACAACATTTTGAACTAACCAACCTTAATCAGTGAATTCATGATGCAAATGTGAAAAATTCTGGTGCATTTGTCGTATTAGTTACTCTGCATTTTTGAAATAGTTCCTTCTTGGTAGATTAGTTATATTGATACATGGAATTTTTATGAAAAAAACATTTCTGGTAAACACAACGCTCGTCATTTTTTTCATCTACGGAAGCGCATAAAGGTCAAAAGTATTCCGATTTCATACATGTACGGAGCCACAATTTATTCTTCCAGGTTCTAATTACGCAAGAAATATGGCACAGAAGAGAATTGACAGCTTCTTCAGCGTAGGTCCAAAAACTGGGCTGTCTGAAAAAGGCACCGATGCAACCGAGCCTAGTACATGTATGTTTACTTTAACATGCTTTTAACATAAAAAGCTACAAACAATAGTCAGTACATGTTAAGTTATACATGTATAGTTAATGATGACAACAATTGTAACTTTTAATTTTGTTTAAACTTTTCAAGATTCAAGGACAGTATGATTTCAAACTTTTACATTACATTCATTGCAATCCATGCTTTAAATATTCGAAATCAAATTGATTCTATAGTCAATTTTATGCACCAAAAATTCTAACACTTGTCCAAGTATCGTCATATGTATTCCATATGTATATTTATAGCGCCCGGTACGTCTGGTGTGAAGGAGGGTCCTGAACCTATGACTTTAGATAAAGATGAGCTCGTGGGGATTGCGTACAGTCCCGATGACTTGTATCCTGATCCAGCAAGGTTAACAAAGGCTTCAGATGACTCGATAAAAGTGAAAGTGCTGCAAAACAACAAAGAA